AGGAAACCGGAGGACCCGGAGAAAACCCACGAGGTTGGACAGGCGACCCTACTCCTTGCCACGTACAACCGGGGATTCGAAACCACGACAGTCGACTCAATGACAGACTTTATGATACAGCGCGCACGCTAACCATTCAGCCATCCAACTCCCCACATCTTATTAAGAGGGTTGGGATTTTCTAGTGGTCTAGAGTGTCGCGCTTCGATCTCTAGCTGGCTGGTCACCCCTGGCTTGCGGTTGTGGTTTTGATCCATTGTGTGAGCGGATGTGACGTGTAGATAGGGGCGCCTTCTTAACCTCGTGGGTTTACTCAGGGTACCCCGGTTACTTCCCAGAGGAAAGACCCCTACGCGTTCGCTAAGATAATAAAACTAAAAAAATAAAATAACTTGTCTGCGATATCACTTGGGGTGGAAACAGATGTTAAACACTAAGAACAATAATCTTATTATTTCCTTGTCAATTCACTTGGTTAGATATTTTCATCACCAACGAGTGCTTAATGAGAGCTTACATTCAACTCTCCTGATCGGCATTCTTCAAAGTTACGAGGATTTAGATATAAACACCCTTTTATAATAGAAATGCATCATTCCCATATCTTAAATTCCATTATCAGTACCCTTAATTTAGATATTTTGAGAGCTTTACCCATCGGCATTCTTCAAAGTCATCAGGATTTTGATATAACCATCCCTTCTTAATAGAAACACATAATTCTTATATCTTATATTTGGTTGTCTAGATTACACCGTATTACTGTTAAATAACTAAAAATCATTGATGTAAAATTTGTCAAACGACAAGATAAGCCTATCATAATTACAATAGGTATCACATCAGGTGTACATTGAAGGTACAAAGACTTCATTGATAACACGATTCATCTGATCATCTGATATTATGTCAAAGGGATTAAGTAATACATAATTGTCAATCTTATATCCCGTATGTCACAATAGACATCAAATTTAACTCATATTTACAGTTTCATCACGTTTAATATTTTAGATTTTAAAAAAAATTTGTCATTCAGTTTCAAACTTGACATATAAAAACCCGGAGTATTACGAGTTGAATTGCGACACGATGGTATTATTTGATTTTTGATTTATTATTTTTTGTCAAATAAAATGAAATGAAATGGGGTTTAACGTCCGATTGAAGGCGGGTTCCGACACACAGTGTGCTATGCGGGCAATTTTGCGGCGCTACGGTCTACTCCTATTTCGAATTGCATCCGTCAAGGGATCTTTTACGTGCACATCAATATGTCGAGTCAGATTAAAATATACCTCGTTTAAAACATCACACTAATTCATAAGATAAACACACAAGGTGTTATTTTTATTTTATTTTTTTTTATTTTTTTAATTTATTTTTGCTCATCCCCAAGTGCGACAATTTAAAACAATTTTTTTCTCTCATCTACAAGGTGCGACAATTTAAAACGATTTATTTATTTACTTATTTATTTTATTTTATTTTATGTTTTGTGCTCAACTACACGGTGCGACAATTTAAAACCATAGTTTAGATTAACTCACTTGTAACTAGGCATGTTATGTTGAAATATGAATATAATGATTTTATTAAAGATGCAGTATGTAAAAACTAAATCTATCCATTGCTGGTCTGTTCTGGCTTCAAATGTTATGGTAATTATTATTTAAATATTAATTCACGTGGTAAGCCCATATTCAACTCTCTAGATATAATTAGATGGGCGTGGTATTAAATGGATTCGCACTCTCGCGCCATTTAATAATCTATGGACAATCGAGACTTTGTTTATTATCGTAGAAAAGACACTTGACAATCGAGCCTATCTTGTCAAAACTTCAAACACTCGTAACTTTAATTGCTCAGAATAAATTTATTGACTATAATTTTCAATATATTATGTCTATTTTTTAACTATTATAGCGAGCACGGCCAGCTCTTTATCTGAAAAATAAATGAAATGGGGTTTAACGTCCTACTGTTCTGCTCCGAATTGGGCTAATGAAGACGGGCATACGCCATACAGTGTGCTATGAGGGAAACTTTGCCCGGACAGCGCCACTACGGCCTACTCTTATATCGAATTCCAACTGTCAAGGGATCTTTTATGTGCAGGCCAATGTGTACACGGGACCTCGGTTTTTCGTGCCATCCGAACGACTAGACAGCTGTCTCTGTGAAGCCCTCCGCCCTGCACCACTGACAAGGGGAAACCACGCCGGAAAATCCCTATGAACTTTCTCGGCCAATGCATTGATTGAACACCCGACCTCCAGGCTAGCGAGCCAGCGTCTTACCCACTTAGCCACCGTGACCCCCGGCTCTTTACAGTTAAATTTCTACAATGCTTCTCTTGTCATTTTCAAGCACAGATATTGTACGCAAAATTGTCCGACAGATATTGTCCGAAAAACGCAAATAAATAATTTAGTGTTGTAAAATAAAACGACACGTTTTGCTTTTTACGAAGGTATGACTTATGTCCGTCTTCATTACCACAGTCGGACGTTAAACCACATTTCATTTCTTTAAGGAGGTATTTAACTCGACATAGACGCCTGGGTAATTCACGAACAGACCTGAGCGTGCATAAATCACGTATTCCGATAGATATAAGTTTACTAGTAAAGGAAACTAGGTCGCCGTTTAATTATCGCTGATTTTATCTAAGAAATAAATATTTATGAAGAATTGTGTTTTTGTTATGACCAGATTGTTCCGATAAATGGAGTTAGGATATAATCTCTTGAGAATTTATGATTTAAAAAAAGCTTTTGTTGTAAACAGTTTGTTGACTTGGTTTATCAAGCGTCATTTTTCATGACCACAAACAACACAATGACATCATGCGTTAGTATACCTATTCCTCCATCTTCTTCGAAAATAGATCTCTGCCCTAAATGGCCGCCATATCCAAATTTTAGTATACTGTTTTGGAATGCAGTTGTACTCCACTTCATATCTGTCATACACAAAGACTAAATAAACTTTTTCAATTGAATTAAATGGTACCAGAATAAATACTTAACAAAATTCTCGAAGAAACTTCGTGTTTTCGACTGAAATCGTCGATTTAGGACTTAAAATGTCGGTCAACTAACTTAGTGTATGTTTTCGAGCGGAGCTAACTGTAAACAGGCAGCCTAAGTTTTGTATGCCTATTCCTCTAGTTGGTGTGTTCAGTTTTTGGGTGGGATGAATGGTCTAAAGAATGCGCTTTAGATCATAGATCTGTGATTGAGTCAAATGGCGTGGTTTCGGTTCCCAGTTTGACGTGACAAGGAGAAGGGGTTATCTTCGGGTCCTTCCATTGCTAAAGACCCCTACGTGCAAGCGAATTATTGAAATAAAATTGAACCATCTGTTAGTCCCGAAAGTACCTAGTTTATGTCGAATGGACGTTAAACCCCATTTCCCCATTTCTCTCTCTCCGTTGTGTTTACCGTACAGAGCTCTCTCTCTCTCTCTCTCTCTCTCTCTCACGACCTTTATTTACACTTAATTACTTCAAAATGAAACCAGGCAAATGACATAACGATTGACCCGCTATTGAAATAATATCCCCAGAATATAACATTTTACTAGAAGTTGACAATTACATGACCTTTGTGAGAAAATGTCGACCCTGTCAACGACGTGGTCCGAAGTTCTCGTTACTGGTGGGGTTATTTGTAAACCGTTTAACAAGTCAAGTGTTACGATGTTTAACTGAGAATCACGTGATTCACTGTATAAAGATACCACGAAAGTTTTAATTAGAAAAGAAATGGGGTTTAACGTCCTAGTTTTCAGCTTTTCTGCTTCATCCGGGTTAATAAAGAGAGAGAGAGAAATGGGGTTTAACGTCCACTCGACACATACTAGGTCATTTCGGGACTAACACATGGTCCAATTTTTATTTCAATCATTCGCTTGCGCGTAGGGGTCTTTAGCAGTGGGAGGAAATCGGAGGACCCGGAGAAAACCCACGAGGTTGGACAGGCGACCCTACTCCTTGTCACGTACAACCGGGGAATGGAAACACCGTCAGTTGACTCAATGACAGACCGTATGATGCAGCGCGCGCGTGCTAACCATTCAGCCATTCCCCCATCCGGGTTAATTAAGGCAGATAGGGGCACTATGATCTACTCATTTCCAACGGGTTTTTTTTATATGCTCGCCAACGTGTATACGGCACCTCGGGTTTTCGACCTACCGGAACGACTAGACGCCGTCCCATGCTGTGCTCCCGCCCGACCTACAACACTGATTAATTTGTTTAGTCAAGTTTCTTCAATAAAAACAGAGTGTCCCGTGCTGGCTCACTAACCTGGAGCTCACGGGTTCGATCCTCATGTTGATCGAAAAAGTAACTCGAGATTTGTCAGCGTTGTTTGGCCAGGATGAAGTTGCAGGATGGAGGGCATGACAAGAAACAGCGTCTACTTGTTCGTATAGAGCGAGGGGGGTTGGATGGCTGAATGGTTAGCGTGCGCGCGCTGTATCATAAAGTCTGTCATTGAGTCGACTGGCGTGGTTTCGAATCCCCGGTTGTACGTGACAAGGAGTAGGGTCGCCTGTCCAACCTCGTGGGTTTTCTCCGGTTTCCTCCCACTGCTAAAGACCCCTACGCGCAAGCGAATTATTGAAATAAAATTAAACCATATGTTAGTCCCGAAATGACCTAGTTTGTGTCGAGTGGACGTTAAACCCCATCTCTCTCTCTCTCTCTCTCTCGTATGTAGCGAGGCAAACCGAGGTCCCGTGTAGGCTACATGCTGTGGTACACGTCAAAAGCCTTGGCAGTTGGAAATCGATGAAGCGTCTGCGGAAAACTTGCTGTTCGAGCAAAATGTTTCGCATAGCACACTTCACGGTACATGCAATTTTTTTTGATCCCGGTTGGTGCAGAAAAGTAGGCCGTTCATTTCATCTCATATCTTCACATTTGTATTAAATACATAAGTATATGGTCACATGTCAATTTAAACTTGACGTTGTTTTTATTTCAGTTGACGAGAACAGGAAAGTTGGAGAAAGCTGATATTTTAGAAATGACTGTAGAATATCTTAAGAAACTGAATTCAACCCCAGGTACACAATTTTACATCAATTGACATATTTTTCCTCCATGTTGCATTTCGCCACACCATTTTGATGACGTCTCTGTTGCTAAGGACTGTAGTAATCCAGTGGTAAGCGTAATGAAGTAGGCCTACCCACTATAAGAATGCCCCGGGTTCAATCCAAGAATAACCGTGAGATTTTTCTAAGGACGTAGTCACTGAGGGGCTGACAAGAAACAAACCCTTGAAAGTGCTGGTAAAAGTACCCCCGCCCCCTCATCCCATTTAGCATTGCACACATGACCATCGAAACAAACGGAAGTATATCTTAGTCTCAAAATAACCGAATGATTGTGCTAACCGGAGACGTTAAACCCCATTCATATCTTGTCTCTGTTACTAGAATAAGAAGTTTGTATAACACTTTGGATGGACTCCAAATAGATTTGTTTTCACAGATTCTTGGTCCATATTTTAAAAGTCCTGGGGGCGTGTATGTAATTGGATGCAGACCTCCATTAAATTCTACCAATTCCTTCTATTACCCCCTTCCTCCCCTCTCTCCCTAATTTGTGTCGAGTAGACGTTACCCCCCTCCCTCCCTCTCCCTCTCTCTCTCTTCTCTCTCTCTCTTTTCTGCGGGTGCTCCGGTTTCCTTGCACTGCTAAAGACCCCTACGCGCAAGCGAATTATAGAAATAAAATTGAACCATGTGTTAGTCCCGAAATGACCTAGTTTGTGTCGAGTGGATGTTAACTCTCTCTCTCTCTCTCTCTCTCTCTCTCTCTCTCTCTCCATTATAAACCAAGAACTGTACGTCAGATATTTTCACAACATTAATCTTATATTTAATCAACTGAAAGATGGCGTATGAATTGACAATATAATTTGTGACACCCTTTGTTCATTTGGAAATGTTTTGTAATCCAATTAGTTTCCGCTGATCAAATTGTTAATCTTTAAATTTGGCCCCTTTTATTCTCACAGTTTGAAAATTAATGAAGTGAATTGAAACATTAAATTGTCCATTTACGATCTTGGACCCACCAGATATTGCTCAAGGCGTTAAGGGTAACTTGGTGGAGATGTCGGCGGTGAAAAGGATCTTAGTGTCGTAATAGTTGGAAATCCTGTGGTGTTTATGTACAACGAATTGTAACATTTCGCTTTATAAACGCCAGCCAAAAGGCATGTCCAAATATTTTATAGTATTTTTTTATTAGGAAGTTTAAAAGTTTCAGATCTAAGAGATCTAAGAAGTTTAAAATTACATAATTGTACAGTAAATTGAAAGTGTAAAATTTCAAAGAAGTGTCAAGCGCAGGGTCCTCTATAATTTGGCTCAGTTTAAAGTTGATCATATCTCTAGTGGGAACAGAAATAGAAGAATTATTGTATTCATTATTCAGAGAGGTTTACATTTTCAAAAAAGCGCACACGCGTCATATTGCACACGCGTCAAATTGCACACGCGTCATTATATTAAAAAGATCATTGTATACAGCCCTGTGATATGGCTGAAACGACAAGGTTGGGAGTCAACGAACACTGTAAACGAGAGAGAGAGAGAGAGAGAGAGAGGGGAGAGAGAAATGGGGTTTAACGTCCACTCGACACAAACTAGGTCATTTCGGGACTAACATATGATTCAATTTATTTCAATAATTCGCTTGGGCGTAGGGGTCTTTAGCAGTGGGAGGAAACCGGAGGACCCGGAGAAAACTAGGCCTTTACTCCTTGTCACGTACTACCGGGAAATCGAAACCACGCCAGTTGACTCAATGACAAACACTATAAACGCAATCGACATCGCAAACTTTATTCGGGATTAATAATCCGGATAATTATATTGATGATTTGATCCCGTGTATACATTGGCGTGCACGTAAATGATCCCTTGGCAGTTGGAATTCGATATACGAGTAGGCCGTAGTGCCGCTGTCCGGGCAAAATTTCTCTCATAGCAAACTGTATGGCGTATGCCCGTCTTCATTAGCCCAGTCGGAGCAGAACAGTAGGACATAAAACCCCATTTCATTTTATTTCATTTATTGATGATTTGAACTAGACTGGGACACCCTGAAGACGAACCCGGGACGCCTCGGTTAATGATCCAGCACCATCAATATCTGTAAAATATCAGGCTAACGTCAGAAGCACAATATTTTACTTCGTATGTCACTTGTGAATCCACGACGCGGATTTCAATATCATATCACGACAGCCATGACAGTCATCACTGTATTTAATGGCGCCCTGGTCACCTAGCAATTCGAATCATGATGATTATGATAATTAAAATGTTCAGGTAATTGCCAACATGGCCTTTTCACCGCCGGGCACAAAGGTGTAGGTACGTTACAGACAATCACCATTAGTTTATAACGGTTTGTGGGTATTATTGGATATTTCACACCTTGATCCATGTCATGACACATGTCTGTTACAGTTGGCAGTTTAATATAGTCAGACATGTCAGTCATGGATATTAAGCATTTATCTGTGTCGGAGAAACTAATCTCTTCTCTAGAAACAAACTTGATTTATATTTTTATTTATTTATTATTTATTTGTTTATGTATGTATTTGAGAGAGAAAGAAATGGGATTTAACGTCCACTCGACACAAACAAGGTCATTTCGGGACTAACATATGGCTCAATTTTATTTCAATAATTCGCTTGCGCGTAGGGGTCTTTAGCAGTGGCAGGAAACCGGAGAACCCGGAGAAAACCCACGAGGTTGGATTGGCGACCCTACTCCTTGTCATGTACAACCGGGGAATCGAATATATTTATTTATTTATTTATTTACTTATTTATTTATTATTTGACTGTAAACGTTTGTCGGGATTTGGCAATGAAAGGCGCCTAGTCGTTTATATGGGACGAAAAAGGGGTCCATCCATGTACTCGTTGGCGTGCACGTAAAAGATCCCTTGACAGTGACAGAATTCGATGATGTATAGTCGAAAACGCCATGGCATACTGTTTGGCGTATGTCCGTCTTCGTTAGCCCATTTGATGGAGATAAGTCGAACGTTTAATTATTCGCATTAATTTTATTGGATCGCCGAGACAACCGAACCTATAAAATGAGCAAGGAAGACAATAAACCAGTGTCGACGTCTAGATACCTGTCCAGGTAGACATAACACGTATATCATGAATATAGACTTCCTCAGGTAGCTGACGTTTACTTCACATAAATCATGGTCGGGAACATCTCACTTTTTAAAATAACTGTTGAGATCCGACATAGAAACAAAACAAAGCGGTTAGTAGAAAATATTAAAAGATACAATAAATGGCTAGGAGCTTCAGACACAGAAAACAAAAACAAAGAGATTAATCTAACTCATAAAATAGAGAAAAAAAACAAAGAGATTAATAGAACTCATAAAATGGCTACCATCATTCTAAGTTTGAATCTTTTGTGATCCCTTTTATGTGTTAAGAAATACATGACTTAGAAAAGCATTTTAAGACTATGTTATTTTCATTACCGTTACCATCTTGCCCGAAACGAAAACCGACTGTACATTCACACGTCTAAAGTCTAAACAATTTTATTAAAACATAGATCCCATTTCGTTTCGTTTTTTATAGTTCAAAATTTCGTTTTACTTGTCTTTACTACACTACACATTGGCGTGCACGTAAAAGATCTCTTGACAGATGGAATTCGATATAAGAGTAGGCCGTAGCGCCGTTGCCCGGGTAAAATTTCCCTCAAGCACACTGTATGGCGTATGCCTGTCTTTATTAGCCCAGCATAGGAGCAGAACAGTAGGACGTTAAACCCCATTTCATTTTACGATACATACAAACTTGTCCATTTACTTTTATACCAACTGTTCGGTGTATACAAATATGTCCTGTTATCTACTCTCAAAGTCTTTTTTCTCAGTATCGAATTTTATTTGTTTAGACTTCACTTTGATAACCATCGGTTTCACATTTTTCTAAAACTCAGGAGTGTCAGCAATAAAACAGGCTTAACAACGTATAACAAGGCTATGGTGTAAACATATCAAGATTAACTCTAGAGCCTCACCTTTATCAGTGTTAATCCCTTCTTAGGTATCATGAAATTACTTGTTAATCCGCTATGGTATATTACCGTATATACCCCGGATACGTATATATATATACCCCAGACTTAAGTCGCTAACAAAACGAGTCATACATATATTACCGAAACGAAACCAGAAACAATGGACACACGCTTTCTTTATGTGTGTGAAAACTCTCATCAGATGGTGACATTAGGTTGAATTTACTGATAAATGTTTTTCTTGGATATCTTATGCCCGTGACACTTTTGATTTAAGAAGTTAAAACATATTGGTGATTGTGGGATGAGGATAGCTGAAACCGTTTGGTTTATGTGATGCGACATCAGCAATCTGTCTTCCCTTGTTCAATGTGTCTACATCAGAGTTTTTAAACCGCGGGGGTTACATGATATTAGATTTAATGAACTCGGTCATATTACTTACTCGGTTATCTATTTGAGTCACGGTCTCTTTTTTGTATTGTTCCTTCCCACAGCTAAAGACCCCTACGCGCAAGCGAATTATTGAATTAAAATTGAACCATATGTTAGACCCGAAATGACTTAGTTTGTATCGAGTTGACGTTCCCCCCCCCACCCCATCTCTCTTTCTCTCTCTCTCTCTCTCTCTCTTTTTCTCTCTCTCTTGCATTGACTGACTACAAATGACGTTGTGATTGTATGAAAATCCGAGGTATTCATTAGCCCAGCTGTTTCGTGTGTGAAATAGCTTTATTTAACGTCCGCTTCCACAAAAGTGATATCGCAGCTGTTGAAAAAATGTATGACCTTTAACCCCGTTTCATTTCATTTCCAATACAAACGTAAAAGAGTATGACGTCTTGTTAATATGTATTTCGGGCGTCGCGGTGGCTCAGTGAGTAAGACACTGGCTCGCTAACCACTAGGTCTAGGGTTCGATCCAGTGTTGGCCCAGGAAGGTCTTTGGGATTTTCCAGCATAGTTCCCCCGTGTCAATGGTACAATTGACGTTTGGAATTCGAAATAACAAATTGGGACGTTAACCCCCATTTTATTTCCATTTATATATTAAACAGAATAATTATCAAAGTTTAAATTAAACAATTATTTTGTCATTGCAGGTTCTAATATGAATATCAAAGAAGAAAATGGCTCCAATTATTCGGCGGGATACGAGAAATGTATGGACGAACTGGTTCAGTTTCTGGATAAAACGAAAGGATTTAACGACGAAATAAAACAGAAAATAACGAACCACTGCAAGGACAAATTACACGAGAGAACCCAGTCCGTTGCAACGGCTGAAAAACTCGAAAACGAAATCGTCTCTACAACGAATTCACGCTTGCATGACGATTCTAGTGATAATGACTCGGATTTTATCATGGATGCGCGACAACCCAGCCCATCTCCGACAACAAGTCCTAATGCACAGCCTGGGGTCGTGAAAGAAATAAAGATAGAGACAAATCAAAATGAATCAATGGACACCTCACCAAGTATTTCACCATCAACACAACACGTGTCGGGATCAGTAAAATTAGTGTGCGGTGGAGATATATTCATCCTAGTAGATCCACAAGCTTCCAATGTGATACAACCACGGACTGCTATCCCAATAGTGTCTAGAACCACAGAAACACTTCCGGTTCCGGTGCAACAAAACATTCTTATGTCGTATAAACCTACATTAGACTTAGGGGCAATTCCGTCTTACCGATTCTGCAGTGTTTCAAATGTACCTACGGTTCCATTTTCTCCTAACGTCCCACTGGATCAATCCGTAGTTCCCCCGTCTTGCGTCAATGGTGGCTTTCAAGTGGACAATGTTAATGCTGCTGCTAATGTGGCAGGTACGGAGCCTATGTGGAGGCCTTGGTGATCCTTACTTTATGTTGTTCATGGAAATATCTCCGTTTATTAATTGGATAGAACAAGAACAATAACTAATTTATTCGGGCGACATTTCAAAGACTGGATATGGTGGTTTTGTTAATAAATTAATAACACTGTTGCTACTTTAGACCTATCCTGTCTATAATCTGTTAGATGCATTTAATAACTTGACAGAACAATAAACTATAATAATATAATACTTATGGAAGAACAATAAGTCGAAACGTCGCCCAAATAAATTAGTAAGCAAACATTTAGAGGCATTTTGTAACTGGGCAGAGCAATAAACTACATGTATAATAATTTAATAGTAAGCAAACATTTAAAGGCATTTAGTAACTGGGTAGAGCAATAAACTATAACACAAATTTATGGAAGAACAATTACTGATTTATTTAGGCGACGTTTTGAAGAGTATTCAAGGTATTACAGTAGCAAATGTGTAGGGCAATTATATATAGACAAGCAATAACAACAAATAAAAAACCATGCATGGCGTCAACAAGGCGCATGATTAGTACCTATCAGAGGAATAGCGATATGAGAGACATTATTTTGTATACCCGCTAGTTCCATTATTTACCTATTTTCATTCACGACTGGCTTATCCTGCAAATCTCCTAGGAGACGCCTGTCTGCGATATCACCCTGGCTGGAAGCGAGTGTAAAACTTGCTACTTTACCGTGGACCATGGTGTCACACCAAGCATCATAATAAGTGCAACTCGGTGGCGTATCAGTAGATAATACCTCCTATGGCAAGCATCAGCATTGTGCCCCTGTATAAACATCTGGCACCCCTTTTTGCAGATAACTTTACCAGAAAATAAGCTAAGAAATACAAGTCAATTTCGTTAATCTTTTAACTAACAAATTATGGCAGTGCATGAAAATTGCAAATGCACCTTCGTTGCTTTCACCGATGTTTCACAGACTTTGCAAGACTTCTTACCTACGCCTACAGCTTACATGGGAAGGGTCTTAATGTCAGTACCTCTCAGTGGCGTCCCGTTAAAGTGGCGCCCATGGCACGTGCCCTATGCCTGACATACCATAAATACGTCACTAGGGCAACAGGTCATATTCATAATGCTGTCATGTTAAATAAGTATATTGTACAGTATGTAAATATTATATCTATCTATATGATAAGTTATATAAGTAAAATTGAAGTATTTATGAAAAAAAAACATTCAAAATTGAATTTCTGGCTGTACTTTCATAGTGTTAAAACGAATCGTCAGAGCCCTGTTTCTCGAAATCTTAACTAAAGATAGAATCCAAATTTTAGTAGATACTTAAATTTTGATTGGCTAAGCACTAAAATCAATCCAATATTATTCAATCAAATTACAAAAATTTGGATTATATCTTAGTTAAAATTTCGTGAAACAGGCCCTAGGCCAAATACTTCAATTTTACTTAATTTTTTTAACTGAGAGTTAGATCATTGAATATTATTTACTTATAAATTATATATATATATATTGTTATTAAATCTCTATAAATATTAGTTTTATTTTCTGTATTATCCAAAAGGGGGGCCACGATGACTCAGTGAATAAAACGCTGACTCGTTAGCCTGGAATTCTTGGGTTCGTTCCCGGTATTGGCCGAAAGTTCATACTGATTTTCCAACATAGTTTCCCCTTGTCCGTGGAGCAGGACGGTGGCCTGAAAAGGACAGACGTCTAGTCATTTGGATGGAACTAAAAACCGAGGCCTGAAACAGAAAGTAAAATTTGGAACTCGATAAAGAGTAGAAGGAAACGGCGGTGCCCGGGCAAAATGTTCCTCATAGCATGCTGCAAGGCGTATACTCATCTTGACTAGCCGGGTTGGTGTCTTTGATAGGATGGGTGGTCCTAAGGGAGATGGGGCTACACATACCCTAAAGGGCGGGAGGCTACACAAACCCTATTAATTCATCAGAGATTTCAACTCTCTCCAAAACTGGGCCCTGTTTCTCAAAATCTTAACTAAAGATAAAATCCAAATTGTAGTAAATATTTCAATTTTGATTAGTTAAGCACTCAAATCAATCTAATATTATCCAATCAAATTAATAAAATTTGGATTTTTTCTTAGTTAAAATTTCGTGAAATAGGCCAGGTCCCTACAACTTTGGCGGTGAAGTCATTCACTCTTTTGTATTTCTTTTTAACAACCCCCTATTCTCGCATGTGATCTATCAATGGGTAAGGATTTAATCAGCAACAAATCCAATCATTATGAAGGGTACTATCAAGAAACAGCTCGAACTGAAGAAAAAAAAAGAGAATAAAAAAGATTCAGCCACTGCATGCAAATGTAGTAGTTTGATGTTGCGGCGAACGGGAGATAACTCTCTTTAAACGCTCCATCGCACGTCAACTGGGTTCAGACAAGCAATTATTTGCCCATTGACTTCAATGTTGAATGGCTGTAACATCACGGGTTGTAGCTTTTTTCTCAATATTCCGTTGGTTCCAATCTTTATAGGCACATATAGACCGAAGTTGGCGCTCTTCTCATCATAATTTTGGAGGGGGTTGACGGTTTAATTTATTTACCGGGCTGATTTAATTTTGACAGGAGTCAAAATGTGACTTCGGACGTAAGGATTGATCTACACAGAGACACTTTACGCCCGTTTCCATCATCATTATTATCAAAATCTGCCATTTGATCTCTTTTCTAAAATTCTAAACCAAATAGTCAATCTAGAAATGCAGTAAACGCACTACATGGAGTAGTAATTAGAGCGAGTTCTGAATAAACAATTTTGTCCTTAATTTTTGTTCCACCCTTTTCCTAACAACGAAGGCATGCACGTTAAAGATTCCTTCGCAGTTGAAATTCGATATAAGAGTAGACCGTGGCACCGCTGCCCGGGCCAAATTGTATTTCATTTCGTGGGGTTAAACGTTTTCTACCACATATGGAGCAACATGTGGCAACCCCTTGCTCAAAAGAGAGAGAGGGAGAGAGAGAGAGAGAGAGAGAGAGAGAGAGAGGTTTAACGTCCACTCGACACAAACTAGGTCATTTCGGGACTAACACGTGGTTTAATTTTATTTCATTATTGCAAGGAGTGGTATTTATTTAGCAGTGAGAGAAAACCGGTGGAACAGGCGACCTTACTCCTTGTCCACGTACAACCTGGGAATCGAAACCATAATAGAAGGAAACACTGGTTCATTTTTAGCAAATGCCAAAAATCGTATGATTCATTTGTCCTTCCTTAGAGAAATGAACATTATTTTTTATAAGAATATCAAAAATATCGGTAGTCCTACGGACATTTTGTTATAATATTACAAGGCCGCAAATGTTTTGAAACATTATTCGATACCAGAGAGAAAGCTGTCTGTAATTTAACAGACGATTGTCTGTAATTTAACAGACGATTGTCTGTGATTTAACAGATGATTGTCTGTGATTTAACGGAAGATTGTCTTAATTTAACAAAATATTGTCTTTAATTTATCGGACGTTGTCTGTATTTTAACAGAAGATTGGCTGTTATTAAACAGAAATTTGTGTGTGGTTTAACAGAAAATTGTCTGTAATTTAACATAAGGTTGTCTGTAATTCAACATAAGATTGACTGTGATTTAACAGAAGATTGACTGTGATTTAACAGACAATTATCTGTGGTTTAACAGAAGGTTTTCTGTAACTTAACAAAAAAGTGTCTGTAATTTAACATGCGATTGTCTGTAATTAAACAGAAGGTTGTCTGTAATTTAACATAAGGTTGTCTGTAATTTAACAGAAAATCGTCTCTAATTTAACATAAGGTTGTCTGTAATTTAACATAAGATTGTCTGTAATTAAACAGAACGTAGTCTGCAATTTAACAGAAAATCGTCTGTAATTTAACAGAAGGTTGTCTGTAATATAACAAAAGATTGTCTGTAATTTAACAGAAAATTGTCCGTGGTTTAACAGAAGCTTCTCTGTAATTTAACAGAAATTTGTCTGTGATTTAACAGAAGATTCTTTGTGATTTAACAGAAAGTTTTCTGTGATTTAGCAGAAGGTTGTGTATTGTTTAACAGAAAGTGTTCTGTAATTTAACAGAAATTTGTCTGTGATTTAACAGAAATTTGTCTGTGATTTAACAGAAGATTCTCTGTGAATTAACAGAAAGTTTTCTGTAATTTAACGGAAAATTGTCTGTGGTTTAACGGGCGAAATTTCCTGCTAAAATGACGTCACTGAGTCTACTACATTCCTTTGACAAGAGACAGGTGATAGTGACGTGTTGATCTATTTGTCATTATAAAGATTAAGATCATCGGAACTTTAATTAAAATATTATAGGCAAAGAAATGTCATGGATTTAACATTGACGTCAATAGGGAAAAAATGATTAGTCTGAGCAGAAAGTGTAATCAGGTATTGGAGTTATGTCCCTTTATCTGCAATTGTGGTACATTTCGGCAACGCGTTCATCGTTACGTTCAGAATGAAATAAAATCGGGTTTAACGTCCTACTGTTCTGCTCCTAAACTGGGCTAATGAAGACGGGCATACGCAATAGAGTGTGCTAAGGGGGGGGGGGGGATTTTGCCCGGACAGCGACACTACGGCCTACTCTTATAACGAATTCCAACTGTCACGGGATCTCTTACGTACACGCCCATGTGTACTCGTCCCATCCGAACGACTAGACAGCTGTCCTTGTCAGGTCCTCTGCCCGCATCACTGGCAAAGGGGAACCACGCCGGAAAACCTGGATGAACTTTCTCAGCCAATGCAGGGATAGAACACACGATCTTCAGGCTGGAGAGCCAGCGTCTTACCCACTTAGCCACTGTAACCCCCGTTACGTTCTGTAGGTCCCACTTCAATTTTTATGTAACGTTAACAACGCCAACTAAATTTAATTATAAGGATTAATTAGTAAATTAAGTAAATAATCGACTGCTAATTAGCTTAATTTCACAGGTTTGGTGAAGGGTATGGTTGATGGAAATCAATATAGAGCTCAAACGAGATTTATATAAAGTACTTTAGAAAGTAAACAAACTATTTCTACCGTAAGTATTAGTATAATAAACATATTATATTGAACAGGGGTGTTGGTTAACATGTAACTCTGATGCTAGTATAATAAACATATTTAACAGGGGTGTTGGTTAACAGGTAACTCTGATGCTAATTCAAGACCAACTGATTATAATTTTAAATGGGAAAAAAAAATTTCCCATAAACCAGGCTTGACCATAATTAAGCTTAGCCTAATCCCCTGTTTGACATAATGGCTCTCACATTGTTGACTCAAACTTAAATATACAGGTACTCGGAACATACGGTACAGGCATCCTCAACCACGTGCACACACTTACATTACGTCACCACTTAATGTGATCCTGTCAGAACATCTTTGAAGAAATATTTGTTTACTCGGATAATTTACATTTAGAAAGTATGGATTGTGTGCTCTCTTCTTTCTGGGAAAAGGGGATTTGTGTGACACGTGACATAACAAAGAAACGCGTGGCAGGAGAGAGAGAGAGAGAGAGGGGGGGAGAGAGAGAGATAGAGAGAGAGAGAGTCCACGTTACACTCGCATTTCGGGGTTCACATATGATTCAATTTTATTTCATAAATCACTTGCTCGTAGGAATCTTTAGCAGTGGGAGGAAACCAGAGGACTTGTCAGGAGAAAAACCACGAGGTTGGACTAGCGACCCTACTCCTTGTCATGCTCAATTGTGGAATCAAAACCACGCCACTTGACTCTATGACAGACCTAATGATCTAAACCATGTGCGTTAGACGACTAGACCACCCAACCCCCACGAGAGATACAAATATCAGGGTAGGTCTACCCCAGGGATGTTATATTAGACCGTATCGTTTTATGTAATGTGTTAATACATTGTATAACATACTGCTTACCTACCAAGAGATATTTTACTTGCACGCTAATGTTTACAAGGGACTTCGGTTTTGCGTCCCATCCGAACGATTATATACTGTTCCTTATACACTGTATAAAATAGTGAATGTTTTACTTGCACGCAAATGTGTATACGCGACTTCGGTGGGTTTTGTTTGTCCCATCCGATCGACTATATACTGTTCCTTATCAGACCCTCCGTGTATGCCTACCAATAGATCTATATGCACTTAAACATACATGTACATTATGCAAGAGCTAAATCTGCCTGAAATGTTATATAAACTATTAATTAGGCTTTTATTAACATGAAAATACCATAAACAGCTCTCGATACCATTGGATATCTCTAATATTAAGTAGATTAGAACAGTTCAACAATATTTTGATTTAATCTAAAAATGATGAAGCGAGGCTAAGCTTAGAACAACCAGTGCGGTGGTTGCAATTAATGCACAAATCTTGTCAAACCTTCAAAAGCTAATAATATCTTCGCTCACAATGGAGCAATTTGAACGAAATTTTCAATATATTCATTTTGCATTATCTATTTCCAAACTATTA